GGAAGGAAGGAAGGAAGGAAGGAAGGAAGGAAGGAAGGAAGGGAGGGAGGGAGGGAGGGAGGGAGGGAGGGAGGGAGGGAGGGAGGAAGGGAGAGAGAGAGAGAGAGAGAGAGAGAAAGAACGAACACAGGGCATAGACAACACTGTGGTGATTGTGAGGTGGGTAAAGGTGGAAGAGGTATTGCCTATACTACAGGGGGGTATAAATGGTAATGTAAAAAATTAAAGAAAGAGAAAAGAAAATCATTATTCATATGGCAGTGTGGTTTATAGATTTTAAAAATTCTTTTCAAAGTTAAGTTTGACTGTATTTTTACAACTGGTCTATGAATTATGGAGATGTATACTGAAATACATGATGTCTGACATTTCCCAAGTGAGGGACATTGGTAGGTTGTCCATGAAACAAGAGAGGCCAAGGGTTGATAGCTGTTGAAGCGTGATAATGAGGCCATGTGGGTTCATTATACTATTCTTTCCACATCTATTCATGTTGGAAATTTTCTGTATTCAAATTTTAAAAGTAGAATGATCAGTGCTGCACAGAAAGAACACCTTTCTCTCCAAGACTGCAAACATTCTGAATTCTTTTCAAAACGCTCACCCTCCCACTCTATCACTCTCTGCAGACGGTCATGCCTCTTACTGTCACATGAACTATTCATCAACTTCCTGTTGAAATGCCTGCAAGTTGACTGCATTTAAAGACGTGTATTTTCTTCATTTGCTAACATCTAAGCAAAGGGTTCCCCAGGGATCTCGTTCCTGTATTTCAACTTCTTTTCTAAAGGATCGATCTTGATAAAGACTGCTCATATCTCTCTGATCTTCAAAACAATTGTCTTTCTTCCTCTTCCCCTTTCCCATCCAGCTATCTCCATATTTCTCACCTCTTCTTCACAATGAAACTTATTTTAAATAATGTATTTTTTTTCATTGATTCGAGAGAGAGAGGAAGGGAGAAGGAGAGATAGAAACATCAATGAGAGAGAACATCGACTGGCTGTCTCCTACATGTCCCCCGCTGGGGATCGGGCCCACAACCTGGGCATGTGCCCTGACCAAGAATCGAGCCAATGACCTCTTGGTGCATGGGTCGACGCTCAACCACTGAGCCACACTGGCCGAGCCCAGTGAAACTTATTTTTAAAAAATCTACTGTGGCCAAAACTGACCATTGTCTCTCGACAGACATTCTTCTCATCTTCTTTAATATTGGATCTGGGCCACCAAAAATAAAACACCTCCTTGCCAATGGGACATAATAAAAATGGTGTGTGCAACGATTTGGTAGTATCTTTTGATTGAAGAGACAACCCTTTATTCTCTAGTATCTCTGTCCTCCTGCCTGATAGAATGTGAACAAAATAATCGGTGTTCCAACATCCATCTTGGGTCACGATATGGCTTTGGCAATGGAAACAATGGATACAGCTGCAGTAAGATAAGACCTTATGGGTCCCTGATATATTTAAGCCTCGTACGTCCAAATCGTTGTCTTAACATCATTCCTCCTGCTACACAACTCTGGCTTGCACACATTTAACTGACCTCACCGGGGTCATCAATGACCTATCACTATGCTTTCAACACTATTTGGCACTACGAAACATTGTTTCCTATCTCTATAAACCAACACTTTCCAACATTTTTTTCACATCACAGAACACATAGGAAATTATATTTGTACTCACTTTGGGGTAACAGACAAAACTGCTTATGGGTGGAAGTTACCATCCTGAAGGGTGCCTCTGACCCCCTCAGGACCTGCCTGGACTTAGGAAGGTATAAAGGTTCAGTATCATGATAAAACATGTAGCCAAGTGGTAGCATACCACTGAACTATGGAACATCTTTTGGGTCATTAAATTCTAGACAGTCAGTCTCTTGTTTTTTAAAGATGCTTCTTTCCTTAACCTTTGGGACATACAAATACTTTTCTAGAGTTCTCCTGTAGTCTTTCTTTAGGGTTTATTTCATCTACTCGTATGGATTTAATTAAAATCGATATGCTGATGTCCCTCAGGTTATGTGAGCATCTCATTTCTTTTTTCTTGAGCCCCAGACAGCAAAAACCCAGCTTCTTACACAACATCCCCCTTGGGATTCTGCCAGGCACTTCCATTAATTTATTATCTTCACTCCAACATATTTGTCTCCTTCCTCTCAGTACAGTGTCACTTAGATGTTCAGACTAGAGCCCTCGAGAGTCATCGTTGATTCTCCCCTTTCTCTTGCCTTTAGATCTCATGTCTAATAAGTAAAAAACAATCTGTTCCTTCTCCTGGAACACACCCGACCTACTCAGGACAAGTCAGGTGATGGCGCGCAGTTCAGTCGGTCATCGTGCATCGTGTACTTAGAACGTCTCTCGTCTGTGAAGCACCAAGATCCTGACGGGAACGCAGAAAGCTCATGGGGTTCATTGGAAATGTGAAGAGATGTTGAGTGAAAGTCATGCGAACACCCAAGAGGCTGGGTGACCCACAGGAAGTCACTGAGGCGTGAGACCCTGATTCCTCACCTGTACGCACTCCACCTGTTCACACATTCAGTGTGCAGTGACTAGCTTTGCGTGTGTCAGGAAAAGTGTAATGTGTTGGGGATACAAAGACGAAAAGATGAGTGAGACATTCCCTATTCCCCCAGGAAGGAAAGCAAACAATACAAAATAATAACTGATTTCCAGCAGACATCTTCGATGGAGATGATCCTGACCCCAGGGGTGCACATCTGTTTTTGTTTGTTTGTGTTGACATGGGCAAAAAACAAAGACCTCATGGTACTTAAAAATATACAGTGGAACTATGCTATTAACTGAATGCAGTTCTGGGCTGAGCATACTATGACTCCATCCCTCTTGTCCTACTCAACAAACCTGTAAGATAGGCATTGTGATCTCCATTTCACAACGGATAAAAACGGCTTGGGGAGCTCAAATAACTCATTAACTCTATTGGCTGACTCCAGAATATAAGTTCCGTCAGTGCAGAGGTCTTGTCTGAATAGGTCAGTGTTCTCTCCCCAGAGTCTGGGACGGTGCCTGGCACTCAGAGAACGCCCAATGACACCTGTTGAACAATGGATGAATTCCCGTGAGTTAGAAATACAGGGAGAACCTGGAGCCCATGTTGTGTTGGGTTCCAGAACCTGCTTTCGTCATCTTTATGGGATTAGACATGCGCAGGGCCTGGCTCTGGAATGAATCGATGCGTCTCGGGATGGATGGATAGAATGAACAGAAAGAGGAAGGAAGGAGAGAGAGAGAGTAACACGGTGGACAGGATTCTTTCTTTCTGTGCGAGTTAGTGTGAGGATGAAACTGACACATTTCTATTAAAAACGCTATAGAGAATAACCAAGTGCCAGGTACCTGAGAGAAGTTTTATTAGCAAAACCATAACATGTTCCCTGATGATTCCCCCATGCGGGGAGTCCATGCAGTTTTGTGCCTGTTAGAGGCCAGCTGCTCCGAGGACCTGCTGGGGTTATTATGATTCTCCTGAAATAAGGCTGGACCTGGACGAACAACCAGTGACTGGAACTTTTCAGAACAAAAGGCAGCTGGATAATCACAGAAGTGCGTATAAATACAGGACTGCAGTTCCGTGAGAAATACTACCATACTTAGTAAATTGGCAAGGAGCTAGCATTATTTTTCATGATAACCATTGTTTTTAATTTGCTTCTTAATGCTAGCATTATTTTTCATGATAACCATTGTTTTTAATTTGCTTCTTAATGTAAGACCTTGTTTGATCATATTAAAACTATGGGTCATGGATGAGTCTGTACTACATTTAAGTAAGTACAATATAAGGGTTCATTTTAATTAAATAAGAACTCCTGACTCCAGCACATTTCAACTGTATGTCCTTGGGCAGTCTTTAACCTCGGAGTTTCAAATTCTTGAAGGGTCAAATTCTTGAATAAGGGTCAAAGGGAGTAATGAGAGAGGACCTGACCTAGGTCCTGGCAAAGAGTCGGAACTCAGTTAAATAAGTTTCCTTTTCTTCGTCAAAGAAACACAGCTAACCTCTTCTAAACTCATCTAATTCAACTATTAAAATCTCTCCCTATGCACAATGTTTCATGTTGAGACTTTCATAATAAAGATGAGTTGGGGAAAATACAAGATGCATCCAGTTCTACCCAGCACCTGCACCATACTGACACGATCGTACCTTCTGGTGCTCCTGGGTTACATATGTAACAAAGCAAAACCCTTAGCACTTGGTTTTCTTCTAAGTGGACTAAGTTTCCTTTTAAAATAAAATTCATGCAGTAATAAGTAACATCTTTTTAAATGTCTTTGCATTCTTCATCTAAGCTATGCCCAGTGGTCTCTATTGCCATCACAGATCAAGGAAGAAGCCTAACCCTTACTGAGACAAGTCTGCAGTGTGTGAGATGAAGCACTATTTCAGCTTTAAATGAAACTTCTGAAGGTGTTTTGTTTCTGGACACGAAGAACCTAAACAGATTTTGTAGGAACATTTGGTCTGTCTGTGGCTGGTACATTTAGTTACTTGCCAAAGCCTCAAATTCATTTTATTCCAGGCCCTAGAATAAGATGCAATATGTGTGTGTGTGTGTGTATGTGTGTGTGTGTGTGTGTGTGGTAAGACAGACACTGGAGCCAGACAGAACTGCACATCAATCTCAGCCATGCTATTAACAAGCTAATTCATACGTTATTTGACTTAGTTTCCTTAGGTCTCAAATGGAAGAGTTTCTGTGGAAATTAAGATAGCGACCGTTCAGGTAGAACACTCATCACAGGGCCTAGAGAACTAAGCCAATACTTTAAAAAACATTGAGCCCTTTCATGATCATCATCATCATTTTCTGTAAGAGATTAGATATTGGGTCCCTCGTCCCCTCCAATGGACCTCTGAACCAAAAATGTGATTCTCGACTTACTAAATGAGAACCAGCTCTACAACGACTAAGGGCCAGAAATCACAAGTCCAATCACACAAGAGTTCGAGAGCGCATACCATATCCCACTGTAGACAGACCCAAGTGTTTCATTCTATTTTTCACAAGTTCAGCAAGCTCTTGTCTCTCTGACCTCCTGTAGAGGGTCAGTCGCTGCTGGGTTATTTTCTCAGCTGTTTTACCAGAGTGTTTGGGACCTTTTCTGCTCAGCCTTCGGGCCCATTGCATGCTCTTTCTCCGCAGCAGGGGGTGGTCCGACTGGTCACTGGACGTGGAGTTGCGGTGGTTGCCTCGGGCGTGGCCTTGGTCCCTGCAGTCTTTGGTGTCTTCCCATTCTTCCACACTGATTGATATTTGAGACTTGAAAGGAGAAGCACATTGATAGTTAGATACGTTAGGAATAATTTTAGCCTGGGGCTCTCTTAATATGTTGGCTAATATCTTGGTATAATTATGTATCTCGTGAGAGTTTAAAAAAATATGTTTTTATTGATCTTGTTTCTTAGAGAGAGGAAGGGAGAGAGAGAAACATCAATGGGCTGCCTCCTGCACGCCCCCTACTGGGGATCAAGCCGGCAACAAGGTATGTGTCCTGACCCAGGAATTAAACCGAGACCTCTCAGTCCATGGGATGATGCTCAATCCACTGAGCCACACTGGCTGGGCAAGAGTTTACCCAGAAACAGCAAAATCATAGTCATTGCTATTAATTTTCCATCCTTAAAAATACTATTAGAAAAGGTGTTGTCTTGATAAAAATATCTTGGCATCCTCCATAAAAGTTTTTATGAAAGGATTTAATGTTTACGTATCAGAGTTATTTTGTCAATGACTATTAACATAAAGTTGTTTGAACCTGAGAACAAAAAACACTATTTTATAACTTTACTCCAATAAAGTCCATGGATTTTTCTAAATCTACTACACGTATGTCACATAAAATTTACGTAAAGATTAAGAAAACTTTTATTTTTGGAATTAAGAACATTTAAGGGTTTTTAAAGTTACTGCTCTTTCTAAAGAGGGTATTGGAATGAACTTTGTAAAATGTGATTTTTTTCCCATTCCCTCATAAGACCCAGAAGAAAACAAAATGCACTTTCTAATTCATGCATTAATTATTCACCACATCAAATGTTGTCTGATTAAAATATTAAAACCTTTTTCAGGAACTGTTCAAAGTATTCAAAGTGAAAATACGCTGTAAATATAAATATTTCACTAGTGTTTTCTGGAATCCCAAAAAAGACTTAAACCAGGCTCTCCTCCCCAGGAGGGAAAAACAGTGAACAATAGTCTATTTTAGTGGGCTCTTTCTCCAGGAAAATCTGATTTTTAAGAAGCTCTCCTTGGATTACAGGCCCTTACCACATGAGAACTCCCTGCTGTGCAATCATTGCTTTTCACACCAGGAGGTCGGCGTGAGGTGCAGCGCCCCCTGGAGGCTTCTCTCCAGGCAGCACCTGGGAAGGCAGCGTCCCGGCTGGGTCGCACCTGCAGGGCAGACAGACTGCCCTTCCCTGGATGCCCTGCCTTTCGGAAGCACAGAATTCAAATCTCCAGTTTCAGCAAGCGCCTGAGCAGAGCCTTTAGATGTGGTAGGCATCACGATGGCTGTCAATGCCTCCCGTACGGCACCTGGGGGCCGGCCAGGGGAGCATGTCACGCTAAACCCATGCAAAGCGTCTACACGTTTCTCCCTTTCCGGTTCAAAACAGCACGGTATCCGCGTGGCATCAAAAACGAGCTAGGTCACCTTCGTATCTTCACGGCAAGAGAACATTCCATTCAGATTTTTTTAGAAGCCTTGGTTTAGTGATCAGGGGGTTAAGTCGGAAGTCCTGAAGGTGTTCATGCCACCGTTTAGCAATTGTGGATGTCATTGTCAGTCTCAACTCTCTCCGGTCTCAGCTACTGAGGACTACACTGGAGTCCTCTCCTGTGGGAGTGTCAGCCTCACAAAGCATGTCAGAGATTCTTACACACACACGCACACGCACACTCCTCCTTCACAGCCTGTGAGCACCACGGCCCTAACGCATGTGCCCGAGTGAATAAGTGAGCCCGCGGGAAGAACTCAAAGGCACGTGTAATGTCTTCACTGGCGAACAGAGGCGATGCTATAGGACTTGGTGGATCTGAATGTCCACGTTCCTCTGTACAGAATACGCACAGAACAGCACTACTGATCCCAGGACACTGTCGCGTAAAGATCACCACTCCCTCACGAAGCCTCGGTGACGTAGGACGCCCTTCTCATGTCTGTCTGGGTCCGAGTAGGCGGACTTCAGTAGCTGTGCAACCAGGGGCTGTGACCAAGGCGTCACGTCCCTCCTGTGGCCGTGCTGGGAACGGCTTCCTGCTCTGCCACGTGACGTGGACAGAAAGCCACGACTGTGTGTTTGAATGGACTCAAATCGACCGGTTTCATTTAAACAGCGTCTTGCTAATAAGCATGCTGGTCAGACTCTTATTTAGAGAAAGATAATAATGCACGTAAGAGATGCCTTCCCGGGCTTGGAGAGGAACAAGGAAAGAATCAATAGAGCTAGAAAATAGTATATATAAAAATTATAAAACAAAGTAAAAACATAAAGAGTCAAGAGTAAACATTTCTATGAGAGAAAGTGAAAGAAAATTACCGATGAGCTCAGACTGCCAAAGTGTGTGAGTGTGTGTGTGTGTGTGTGTGTGTGTGTATTAGAATGCACTTAGGTTGGTGAGTATATCTATGTTTGGCTAAGATCACAAGGCATTCATTCAAATCACAGGGATACTCGCTCTGTTTTGTTTATACATGCAGGTGTACTGACATGATTGTTTTTCTGAGGCAGCACCATACACTCAAAAATGATACACCGGTGAAAAACCACGAAATGAGACCTATTCTTCTATCTACTCGGCACATAACGATTTGCCACTTTCTCTGAAAATTCACTTAAGCCCCCCCCACCACCGCCTTTCTAACTGGCAAAGTGAGAATAAGATGCTCCCGACTTAATCCTCACTCTGCTATGAGCTGAGAAAGCCCCAGTTTGCACACGGCCGATAGAGAGGGGCCAACGTGGAAACTCACCCATCGGGGTCCAAGGCCAGTCCTCATTGAGTCAGGCAACATAACTGAATAAACGGTTTGTACCAGAAACTGGGACAGAAGGAGTATCAACAACAAGCGGCTAGAATATACAGTATCCTCCTTATCCACGGGAGATACCCTCCTTATCCCCCAGGGGGTGCCTGGACCCGTGGACGGTACCGAACCCTACACATACTGGTTTTCCCTATGAATACATACCTGTGATCCAGTTTAACTTCTAAATTGGGCACAGTAGGGGAGTCACAGCAATAGCTCATAATAAAGTAGAACAGCCACAGCAAGATGGGACGGTGGCCTCTTCATGGTCACGTGGACTGTGGACATGCTGGGCACATCCCGGCAAGGCCCGGGATTTCGTCATGCTACTCAGCATGGCGCACAGTTTAAAACCTGTGGATTGTTGACTTCTGAACTTCTTCATTTAACTCTTGTGGAGCGTGACTGACCACAGGTAACTGAAACCACTAAAAACAAAACCACAGATTTGGGGGGGCTACTATATCTTAAAATCTAGCAACAAAAAATTGACTTGATGCATATTAGGCATCAAAAATCCATTATTGATGTCTCATCGTGTGAATAAAGTGAGGAAAATGATTACTAATTTGTCTGTGAAGGGAAAGGTATTTGGAAAATCGAATTCACTAAGAGGCAATTAATCCAGGCAGAGGCATGAAATGGTCACACTGGCTGTCGGATGGCACTGAAGGCATGCCACGCACTGAAGGGCATCAGTCTGTAAAGACACCGAACAGTGAGTCATACGCTGATTTGGGACATTGACAGAACTTGAAGACAAACAGGTGAAGTTAATTTGTAATCCAACTAGGGAAATGGAAATACACGGACCTGAAACTCGAGCATGGATAACACTTTAGAGTGATGGCTTTGAGAACTTCGCTCAGGTGCAGAAGGTTACTTAAGATTAATTTGCTTCCCAACGATCCCCCAGAAATGAAAATGCCTCAGTCTACAAAAGACACTCAGAGCCCCTAAACCACAAACTCCAGAGTAGTCCCTGAGCCAACAACATTTTGAGAAATTCTGGCATAGTTTACGAACCAAATAGTTGATAAGTTGCTGGGTTTTTGTGTATGTGTTTTTTTTGCATCTGAAAACACCCACGGTATGCTCAGGCAGCATTCTTTGGTTTCTATGACACTGGCCAGAAATCGATGCCCAAGACGGGCAAGGGCCGCACTCAGTCAGGTTAGACATGAACCCTGGAATACTTGGATGGTTCCAAACCTCGGACATAGCGAGCTTCTGAGACTCGGTCCTGTAGATCCCTATGGGAACGTCTCCAGTGGCCGAGCACAGCTTCTGGTACAGCCGGGCGTACGTTCGGATCCATAAATCGTCCTCCGTGATTTTCATCTAGAACACACAGGACTTCTTTACAGATGGACTTCTTAGGAAATGAAAGCCCAGTGGTTATGTTTCACATCCTAAAGGTAGAGTCTGTTGCTACTTTGAAGTCTCAACATGCCACGTCATCGGTGCTTGTCTATGAATTAAACGTATCGAAAGCACCTCATCCCAGCCTTCTCCCTGGGGTCCACCCCGACCTGAGACACCAGCTACTCAACTTGTGGCTATAGATGACATTGGATCAGTGAGCTGTCAGGAGACAGTGGGCAGTGTCCATCGACTGGGAGTTGTTGGAACACCCATGGAGACTTGTGAACATGTCATAACCAGAGCTGCTACAGGAGTTTAGCAGCGTCTGCTGATGCTAAAATCTCAAAGTAGAAAGGATGCACCAGCACAAGCGTCTGCTGATGCTAAAATCTCAAAGTAGAAAGAACAGTCCACCCTACGTGCTGAAAACACCCAGCTGAGAAGCACGTTAGCCCTGTGAGCACGGGGCTCACGGACAGGAGCCACAGTTCCCGTCCCTCTGCGTTAATCCTAAATTCGAATGTGGGCAAGTCACTTCAAGGCACTGAGACGTCTGCCCTTTTACAAACAATTACAAATCAATCGAACGGCACGATGCCTGTTCATCCATAGTCAGGGGTCCTGCGTGAGAAACAGTCTGTCTCAAGCGACCAGAACACCTGTTCTGAGCTCTGCGCAGAGTGGCCATTCACTGTGGGTGTCCATGTAAAAGAATGTCTGCCCTCACGCTTTTTCTAAGGAAGGGAAAAGGACGATGCTATCCTTCGAGCACATAGGAGGGGGGTAAATGACGTAGAAGAGTAAGTCTAAGTGTGTTATAGATGGATTTCAGAACATGCATCAGAACCGTCTTGTATTCCAAAGATGGTTCACTTACGGAACAAAGGAAGCCCGATCCCGGCATGGTGTCCAATCCCAGCAGAAGTCTGGTGATAGAAATCATATAATCCTTCACGAATGACTGCAATACAAACAGAATGATGAGAGGTGTAGAACCGCCATGAGTGTGAACAGCATATTACTACGAAAAGGTTGTTTGTGTGACATATCATTAAGCCTCCATAAACCAGGAAATGAAAATCCATCCTCTGTTGTCCTGAAGACATCTCAATGTTCAGTGAAGCTGTCCACAGGCGATACGGAAATAATTATTCTCTAGAACACCTTGCTATACTTAAATTTTGTACATGCTGTTAGACATGATAAAAACATTTTTAGATTTTAATCACAAAAATAAGTTTATTTAAAATAGAGAGTATTGTAAATATTTGAAAGATCTAAAATTTGCAATAAAATATTACCAGTTGTGTGTGTGTGTGTGTGTGTGTGTGTGTCTTCGGATTAAGCTCTATGCTAATAAATTTCTCATATTGCAGCAACTCTAAATATTAATGAATTGAATAGTTTAGTATCAAATATCAGACTCTTTATGTGCTAACAAGTAAGGTACATTTTAATATGTTGCTAGAACAATACTCAGTAGTTAGAGCATTAATGATGCATTCAATTTCTTCAATTTATTCTTTGCTGTGGGTGACAAGAAAAACTTCCAAGCAATACAAGCCCATTTCGCCATGACATGCAACAAATATTTAACAAATGGTATGAAATGACTGCCCTCAATTTGATCTTCGTGTGCTAGAATGGGAAACATTTAAATCATCCTCTAGTTATTTTCCATGCCAAAGATTTTTAAAAAGTTATAATGCCTTTGAAATAAACCTACCAGACCACTTTCTTGATAACTCCTTCAGTTCAGAAAACTAAGCCCTCCCATCCGCGGGAGAACCGTGAGAAAACACGGCCACCCCTTTATTCGTGCCGAAGAAATGGCATTTTGTTTTCCAGGTGTATCAGTCTCCTGGTGGTCGGGACATGAACGTGTTGGGAGGGAGCCACCAGGACACGTTGTGACATGTCCTCTTAGAGAGCATCATTTAACTTCATTTGTAACTCAGTCGTGTGTTCAAGGAGAGGAATTGGCCACAAATTCTCAGCCACTTCGGACTGTTAGTTTCCAAAATTAAATACAGAAAGAACTCACGGAAGGGAAAGTAAACTGAAGATTTGGCAAATGACTATGATAGATTATTTGAGAGTCAGATGAGGTGATGCAGCTACAGGGTGGGGTGGGGGGTGGAGGACTGTGTTCATCACCAACAGGTTCCTGTCCAGAGCTCATTTGTTCAGGGACGTCAGCAGGTGTAGGCAGGAGGTAGAGTGAGCCAAAGAGAAGAGGGCAGCCCTACCTAACGTCATAAAGTCTGTGGACTGAATGTCAAGTAATTCCTAGAAAAATCTTCTTTCAGTTTTGCCTTAGTATCTATTTAATTTTATTTTACAGAATAATTTTTAATATGTTTTTTATTGACTTTTTAGAGAGAGAGGCACGGAGAGAGAGAGAGAGAAACATCGATCAGCCACCTCCTACATGCCCCCCCACTGGGGATCGAGCCCACAACCTGGGCATGTACCCTGACCAGGAATCTAACTGGGACCTCTCAGTCCATGGTCGACACTCAATTCACTGAACCACACCAGCCGGGCTACAAAATAATTTTTAATGATGGTTTTGCAGCTCCACAAATATGAGAATTAATAAAACTTAGTAAAAATGTAACAGTATGCCCGGCCAGTGTGACTCAGTGGTTGAGCCTCGACCTATGCACCAAGAGGTCGCAGGTTCAATTCGAAGTCAGAACACATGCCCAGGTTGTGGGCCAGATCCCCAGTGGGGGCATGCAGGAGGCGGCCGATTGATGTTCTCTCTCATCGATGTTTCTATCTCTCTCTCCCTCTCTCTCTAATATCAATAAAGGAAAAGAAATTATTTTTAATAAAAATGTAACTGATCTGTGTCATGTTGGAAGGAGAAAACAGTGTATTTAAAAGCTGTAACAAAGGAAAACAATCTTCTAGTATGTTTAAGAAAAAAAAACAAAGGACCATAAGAAAGTCAAACATTATACAGGTGTAGGGTCCCTAATCGAACACTTAGCCTGAGGGTGCTCTCTCTCCCTGAGCCCTCGTCCCTCGTCTACACATTATGAGTGACAGCCCCGCCTACAGCACACTGTCTTTGGGGAAGCAAATGAAATCATGTCTAGGATAGAATTACATTAATAATAAATCACTACAAAATTGCAGTCATGAAGAATAGTTCCTGAATACATAATATAAACAGTAATCCTTAAGATGAAATCATTAACCAAAATCATGAAATGGAATATAGTCTATTTTAAGAATATAGGTATACTTATTATATAAATTTAAGAAGTATATATATAACTTCTAGTATCTTTTTTTTTTTATCCTCACCCAAGGACACTTTTTCTATTTTTTGTTCAGATAGAGCGGGAGGGAGACGGAGAGAGAGAAACATCGACGTGAAAGGGACACATCGAGTGGCTGCCACCCGCACGACCAACCAGGGCCGGGGACAAACTGCAACCGAGGTACATGCCCTTAGCGGGAACCGAACCCGGGTCTCTCTGGAACGCAGGCCGACGCTCTAACCGCTGAGCCAAACCGGCCAGGGCTCTTGTATCTTTTTTGTAACCATAAATGGGTAATCTTTTCCTGTCTGAAAAAAGTACCTGGAAAGTATCTGTTTGATGTCAGGGGTGATAAACAGGCAGTTACTACTTTAGCCGTTAGACTTTCTCATGAGCTACTGTGGCTAACACATCGGAAAACCACCGCATGACAGGATTCGACTGATATAAACTCTTCTGTTTCGAATCTTCCCCTCTCAGCCCCTCTCAGCAGCCGAAGTGTGTGGGGTAACGTTGGGGAGGGTGCTGGGCCCACAGCACCCACACAGGTGTCTGGAAAGTCAGGGCGAACAGGGGTGTTTACTCTGCTGTGCCCATTCACCCGGCACTCGGCGGGCACAGCAGATGGCCCCTGGCAGGTGGCATTGCTAGAGGGGCCCTCCTGGCATCAGACGCCCAAAGGCCAGTGGCAAAGCTGTGACCATCTTTGGATGACAGTGTCTTCAGTCATGCATTGCAGAAGAGGGTCCATGAGATACGTCAGCCACTAGGACACAGGCAGAGCCACACGTCTGGATGCTGAACCCGAGAGGACAGTCGTCGGATTATTGCGCGTCCTAGGAATGTCCTTTTTCTCTTCCTGGAGAGGGAGGGGGATTGTCTGATTACTTGAATCAGAGGATTTGAGATTGTGCGGCTGCTCTGTGTCTGGGAGAGTTAGGAAAAAAAGATTAAAATGTATTTGTATAAAATAGCATCTCCGTGAACTTCTTAGCGACGATAAAATGACAACGTTAGCTTTGGCCTTTTGGAACAATCAAAACGGTTCTTGTTGTAAAATCTTTTTTATATTTGTCTAAGGTGGGCTGTAATGAGCAGATGTGTAAAATGTCCTTGGTTAGCCCTGGCCGGTTTGGCTCAGTGGTTAGAGCGTCCGCCTGCAGACCAGAGAGACCCGGGTTTGGTTCCCGCTAAGGGCGCGTACCTTGGCTGCAGTTTGTCCAAGGCCCCGGTTGGGGTTGTGCAGGAGGCAGCCACTCGGTGTGTCCCTTTCTCTTCGATGTTTCTCTCTCTCTCCCCCTCTCACCTTCTCTCTCCCTCTCTCCTACTCTATCTGAAGATAAATAGAAAAAAATACGCCTTGGCCGGTTTGGTTCAGCGGTTAGAGCGTCGGCCTGCGGTCCTGAGAGACCCGGGTTCAGTTCCCGCTAAGGGCATGTACCTCGGTTGCAGTTTGTCCCCAGCCCTGGTCGGTTGTGCGGGTGGCAGCCACTCGATGTGTCCCTTTCACATCGATGTTTCTCTCTCTCTCTCTGTTCCTCTCTCTCCCTCCCACTCTACCTGAACAAAAAAATGGAAAAATGTCCTCGGGTGAGGATAAAAAAAATAAAAAATACAAATCCTCAGGTGAGAATTAAAAAATAAACAAATAAAAATAACTAAAATGTCCTCGGTTTATCAGTTTATTGACATCAATTTGATAATTTTTTTTTTATCCTCACTGGAGGACATTTTTGCATTCATCTTCAGATAGAGTGGGGTGGTGGGGGAGAGAAACATCGATGCGAGAGAGACACATCAACTGGTTGCCACCCACACAACCTCAGTGGGGCCGGGGACAAACTGCAACCGAGGTACATGCCCTTAGCAGGAACCAAACCCGGGTCTCTCTAGCCCGCAGGCCAACACTCTAACCGCTGAGCCAAACTGGCCAGGGCTGATAATGTATTTCTTGAAAAGGCTGTTGTGTTCTTTTTTACCTAGTGATTTCTTCTTACTTTTGTTTTAGGTTAGGGGTTGTAAGAATGTAGCACCATGTATTAAAATTTCGCAGGGAACATCGTAGGGCCCTGGTGCTGAAGAGTTGCCTATACATCATTTCACGGGGTATCCGGAAAAACAACGCTTTCCTTACAAAACGTGTCCTTCAGCTGGGTGCCGTTCAGTGCAGGAAACAAGACACCGGGTCACTGACGGAGCCCACTTCAGGGCATCAGCCCCGGAGAAACACTGCGCGTGCTGTGTGTCTGCCGGAGTCGGGGCGAAGCACCTTCCGGGGGCCGGGGGCACGTACCTGGTACAGCAGCGTGTCCAGCATGCTGATACTGAACACTCTGCCCGCGGCGAACGGCAGCCGGAACATGAAGGCCAGGTTGGACCCTCGCTCGCGCTCTTTCTGTTCGGGAATCGGAGAGGGAGATGCCCGTGAGCCCGTCTGTGCTTCAGTTCTGCCTAGTTGACCACTGGACACACGCGGGGAACAGGTTCTCCCTGTCTGCATCACTCATTCATCGTGCTATTCGGAATGTACCTTCATATTCCATAACCAAGTTTGCTTGTTTTTAATTAAAATCCCTAAACGTCAAGAGAGGTTCATCTTTTCACCCATTCATTTACCCTTTTACATTTATTGACCCTTTCGACCTAGTTCTGGAAAGGATTTGAGGTGATATACGAAAAGGAACAAACGCAACAAAGTCATTTAAATACATGTCAAAGACCCTAAAGCCACGGGCTGTATCATAACACCTAGAAGATGTGTGTTAACTATTCTCACACGTGAGGCAGAGTCGGCAGGTGGGAGCCACCTCTGGTGGCTGCTCCCCCCTGTCCCGTGTCTCCTGTGCCCTTCAAGCTTGAGCTGCCCCGGATGGAGCTAAGCTCCTGCCAGTTCGGTTCCGACACCACGAACTCAGAGTTGGCTCAGACCCCCAGGTTGGGGTCCCAGTCCCCCAAGACAGCCCTGTTTCTATTGCTTTCTCCAAGCCAACCACACTTCGGTCCAGCCAGCTGCAGATTTGGGGTTCCCCACTCGCCCCCCAGGTCCAATGGGCTCATGAAGTGCTTTAGTGAATCAGTCATTATCCTTTTATTAGAAAGAATGAAAATCGGCAGCAGGTGAAGAGACAGAGACACCGGGCACGTCTGCAAGGATCCGGGGGGCAGCAGTTTCTGCGAGACCTTCTCCTCCCGTGTCGACAGTTCACCGTGCAGAATCATCTCCAGTGTCCGCGTTTCTGAGCTTTCCTCAAAGTCTCCGTGTGTGGGCGTCGTGAATGAGGTTATCAGCCATGTGGTTCGGCTCCCTCTCCGTCCCTGTCCCCTCCCTGGAGCGGGGGATGGGGTGAGGGGCTTCTCATCCTCTCTAAGGCCCCCTCCGGGGTTGCCTGGCCGGCATCCAATCAATTCTGATAGAAAGGTCTGAATAACAAAAGACACCTGCCCTGGCCGGTTTGGCTCAGCAGTTAGAGCATCAGCCTGTGGACCAGAGAGACCCTGGTTCAGTTCCTGCCAAGGGCACGTTTGTCCTCAGCCCCGTTTGGGGTCCTGTGGGTGGCAGCCAGTCAAAGTGTCTCTCTCACATTGATGTTTCTCTCTCTCTCTCTTCCCCCCTCTATCTGAAGATAAATGCAAAAAATATCCTCGGGGGAGGATAAAAAAATAAAAATAATTAAAATTTTTTTCAATGTATATAAAAGACACCTGTCACTCTGAAAATTCGAAGGGTTTTCTTTCTGAAGCTCTGTGCCAGGGAGTAGGGACAAAGGCAGAGTATATTTTTCTGACAAAACCTTCCTATTCATCTCGCATTTCCTCAGCCCCCTGCTCCATCCGCGCGCGGGGCCCCCAGGATTGCTGAAGTGGAATGATCTTCATCACTGGGGAATGGAGATCATTCAAAAGCAATTTCCAAGGAAGTGATCGTGCAGCCATAAGCATGAATAAAAGGCCGTTTCGTGAAATGCATCAAAACAAGGGAAACGGAGTAAGTCAAGGGGGAAATGAGATGAACATTTCTGTTCTTGCTGCTGCGGTCCTTCCTCTTCTGTCTCCTTAGCACGGGTCACGCTTCCCCGCTGAGCTGATGCCACCCGACCAGGCTCCGAGCACGGGACACTCTGGGGGAGACACTGGCAGTGACTGGATGTCCCCGGGAAGAAGGTCGGTGTTGTGCAGAACATCCCAGCGACAAAATTGGAGGAAACCAAAGGAGAGAGGAGCCGGGAAGGGGAGAGAACACGGAAACACGGTGTTCGGGACATGTTTTCACACGTTTGACGGATCCGAAGGAAGTGGCGTGAAATACTGCAGCTGGGAAACACCGGGCACAGAGCCGCTGCAAGGCCAGCGGGGAGCCCCGTCCCCAGGACCTGCGGGATGTGGAACTGCGGCCGAGCCTCGGGGCTGGTGGCCGAGGAGCACAGCGTCCCCACAGCGTCCGCACAGACAGCAGGAAGCAGACGCCAGGCCGCAGGACTGAAGGCGGAGGCGGTGTTTGGACCGAGCGTCGCTCCGTCAGCTTCTCTGCACCCAGGGAAACACCTTCCTCTCTGCACCTCACTGTTCACCTTCCTTCCTCATAAACGCCCTTCTCCTCACCTCGCAGAGGGAGCAGCTGCAGGGTCTGCCTGAATCAGTGCTTCCCCGGTCGCGGTTTGCTTGGCACCTCGAGGTGAAGAGCGAGCCCCGGGTTCGCGGCCCACAGAGCCAAGCTCGCCACCCCTCCAGCGTTGCTGGGCCAGGGCCGCACGGTGGTGCCTTCTGCCCTGGACGTGAGTGGCCTAAGCCCCCTCTCTTCATTGACTGGACAACTCTGTGATCTGTCTTTTTTCAGAAGCAGCAGGGGGTATCGCTCAGGGGTAGGGATTTGCCTGCAGAAGCAGTCCTAGCAGCGGGTAACTTCCACGATGAAGGCACAGCAGGTAGTTCTGAGATGATGCATGTGACCAGCTTGGAAGTGGACACAGAGGTGCAGAAATGACCTGCCTTGACGATGCATTTCCCAGGAATTGGGGCAGTGTCTGGCATACAGGTAACCAAAATAAAATGAAGTGAAAGAAAGAATCAACCAAAAACAGGGGGGAAGGGTGGATCAGACATCATGATCTCTGCCTCTTTTATTGTCCGCAACAATGAAGATGGCGTCCATCTAACGCAGCTTCACGTGTGTTAGACTGAACCTTATTTTTTCTTACATCGGATTCTCCCAGTAGACTAGCACTGACCGAAGGCTGACTCTGAAAACCATTCTCTCCCCACTCAGCCAGGACGAAGAGAGCAGAAACCCTGCCTTTCTGTCCACGTAACATGACCTCGGAAGCTCACTGTGACTATTAGCATGATCCTGGTCCCTTCCCAGTCCTCACCGAGTCCCCCCATTTGAAAGACACTACAATCCTCAATAAACTCGGATGTTGTTACCCCCCCACCCCCAAGGCACTGCCAGGCTCCCTGAGGTGGCAGTCTGTCCCCCTCACCTGGGAGAGCAGGAAACAGCTTTGTCTCCGTGTGCTGGGGACATCGGGGAGGCCAACTTTCAACAAAGCCTACAACTTTTCTAAGGCCTTCAGCGTTTTTGAAAACTGCAAAGCCCTATATAAATATGGATTTGTTGACATAGCACTTGTGATATTATCGGAAGAATTTTCATGATGAGTGACTACACACATTCCTGTTACACTTCATTCTTTTGTAAATCATGCTTTTAATTGATGATGAATGATGCTAGAACACGCTATCTCCATCACATTCACTTGTGATAGAAATAGTTCAAATCCATCCATTCCTATTTAAAAAATACAGCTAGGTTGAGATTTTAGCTCCCGCACAGGAATTCAACACAGCATTTCCATTTCCACAAGCTCATGGGTTGTCTTTCTGCACATAGAGCTTTCAGAGTTATTCGTTCAACTGAAGTCGTTGAGTCCGACTTACCTTTTCCAGTTTGGAGAGAGCCAAGGAGTAACAGTCTTTGGCTCGGAACTGCATGAACCTCATGTTGGCTGGGTGTGTCAGCTCCGTGATGATGCTGAGACTGGAGAACAGCCTGCATTTCAAGAAAATGTGGGCATTACCCCAACGATGCAACATGTACGCTGGAGGACGGGGACCCCCAAGCTCCCCACAGCCATTGGTTCAGCAGCTTGGCCGGGAGCCAGCCCGTCGGAGGTGCACCTGTTCTCTTACCCCGCAAAACTTTGCCACGATGTACCCTGATCAATTTCCATGGGTACATTATTTCATGGAGACAATCTTTTTGTTTTTCTAATTTTTTTCTTTATTGATTTTAGAGAGAGAGGAAGGGAGAAGGAGAGAGAGAGAGAGAGAGAAACATTGATGAGAGAGAACATCGATGGGCCGCCTCCTGCATGCCCCCCACTGAGGATTGGGCCCACAACCTGGGCATGTGCCCTGACCGGGAATCAAACAGGCGACCTCTTGGTGCAGGGTCGACGCTCAATCACTGAGCCACGCCAGCCGGGCCATGGAGACAGTCTTGATGAAGATTGGCTAGTTTATGTAGAAACACCGTATAATCTGAATTCCTCCAGAAGCTCTTTCTTCTTACACAAAAGTCACCACAAATAACAAATTCCATAAAAGTCCTTTTTTTTTTTCAGGAACTTCTGAGCAATTAGATGAATGGCCCCATGGGGGGATCTCAATTGACTTGGGCGGGCACAGCTCCATCTGGTAGGCCTAGGAAATGCGTCCATCTGCCCAATATCACACCATCTGGGAGTTCTGGAAGTATTTATCCAAGAAATATTTGGGAAGAACCATGTCCCTGTGAAAAGTGATGAAAGAAACCTCAGCGAGAACTGGGGTGCAGCAGTCGGGCAGAGGGTGCTCTCATGATCTCCAAGTCGTCCGTTACCCCCAAAAGCAAGACCACATCAATGCCAGCTGCGCGAATCCAGGTACCCCCGACCGGAAGAGAAAGTTCTGGCCCACGGGATCCAAGCAGAAGTGTGAAGTGGAATTCCGGCCTCTGAATTGGACGCTATGACCCTCACACAGGAAAGACGCGTGTCCACAGTCATAGGGCTGAGCCATGCGGCTCAGTGTCCACGGGTTAAGTAGCATCGGAACGTGAGTGAGCACACAGCTGGTGAGAAACACCGAGAACATCGCTGGACAATGAGGCCAGGGAGGAATTTATGCGGGAAACGGGCTACAGACCCATGAACATTTATGCCGTCTCTGGGGAATATTTCTTTCATCTTTCATATAGATTACTCTAAATGGCGAAGTTGGTGATTACTTGGACAGGAGGGTCCTTTGCTGACACGTGCTATCAAACAGAAGTAATGCACAGACGTGGCTAGATGCATTCGCGGACTCAGGAAGAGTGGGTGATGATACGGTGAACCCAGTCACTTCATTCAAGTGCCGTGGGAAGTTGAACTGAGGACGACAGAATTTATGTGATGGGCCGGTTCTGCTGTGGATGAATAAGCCTACATACCATGCATATTTATTAAACTGAGAAACCGAACGAACTATCTAAGTCTGCCACCTAGTGAAAACCTAGAACTAAATAGGACTTGAATAATAAAATGCTTTATTGTGGTGCTTTTTATATTTATAAGGCATTGCTTGTATTCCGTGATAATAGTTTATGTTTAAATTTTTAGTTGTCTAATGCAGTTAATGATGTAGCTCTAAAAACGCTAGAGTTATAAATCTACTTCTGTGCCTTAGTAAGACATACTTTTTGCCTATCACACATTTTAGATATTAAATTACCATGTGTATGGCCGCCCCTGGTAGTTTTGGTCTGTTCATTTGTTTTCAGTGATTAATCAGAGACTCTCCAGATCTTATGAAGATGGGGGTATGTTATTATCTTGGAATCAAAATAATTCACTAAGAAAATATATAATAAACGTCCACTCGAGAGCAACTTCACCATAATAGAAATAAACTCACAGACACTAGAAAATTAAAATGGCACGTTTAATCGAAATGACCCAGGATCCTTTTCTGTTAAAAACTATAATTAGGTCTTGCCAAGCATGGAATTTTAAAAAGGCATAATTTTACTGTATTCACTGGCTATAAATCTCATCCTTCTGAATTAATTTTTTGTATTGTAATTACCTTTTTTATTCTCTAGGAAAAAAAGAATTGCTTATGTCTGTCATATTTTAAGCATGGGCTATGTGCATGTACCATTTTCTATCGCTCATTATGTTAGCTATATGTTAAATACACCGCCTCCCTATAGTGACTTCAGAGGGTGTGTTTCTCCTTCTGCTGTCAGAGGTTCTAATTCAACTTCAGGGTGGGTTTTCCGGGTGCTGGGATAGAACCTTTGTACACCCGGTTTCCGGTCTTCGCATTAACACTGCAGAAGGGTTAGGATGAGGGTTTCCATGTGCGTGTTATAGGTGAGGAAAACCATTGCCACAAGGTTAAGACACACACTTGAGTTCCCAGCGTTACCAAGTGTCTGCTGGAACCTCAGAATGTGAGCTGTGCCCAGTGGAATTAGTTCGTATGATTGCAAGGTCTGTGATGTTTCCAGCCTGCCCCGTGGTTGTGACGGTTACACTGCTAATAATTAGAGCAGCTAGCATGAATTGAGTGATTAAAAACCACAAGGCATGTATATTTTTGAATATCTCATAACCTGTGATGAAAACATTGAGGTTCAGAGAAGGAAAGTAATTTGCTGAAGATCATATAAACATCTAGGCTGTCTTCTGAGTTCTGAACTCAAGCGATAAACAAGCAATGACCCTCGATCGATGCTTTGCAAATAATATGAAGCCAGGACAGTGGCGTGAGGACGGATGATGGCAGAGCTCAGATTGCTGTATTTCCTTCCGCAACTGGATGGCTCAGAAAGTCCCTTTACACTTCTGTGAAACTCAGAAAACCAAAACAAGACTTTATTTACATCTTCAAATGATTTTAAGAAGAATTATTTCAAGTGACATCGATGTCTTGAATTTTAGGACATTTGTAGGTGACTTTGCTTATGGTATGAGCTTTGCTCTGATCAGGATGGGATGACCGTAGCGGGCATTTCTGTCAGGGTGAGTTTAATGAATGAAGACAGGAAAATAGCAAGGAGAAGCTTAGACTTGGCTCTAAGATGGGTAAATTACCTGTTCACAGCCTTGTAACCTTTCATTCCTAGTTACGCAGAATATCAATGCGTACCTTTGGCCGCTGTTCAATATAAAACCAAAATGAGAACATGCAGGGTCCGTAACAAACCACGAGCGATCATGACTGCTTCCGCACGTGGTTTTTTAGAATTGGTTATTTTTAAACTAGGCAAGAATACAGATTGGTTGTTCTATCTATTTTTTAAAGAATTACTAACCTGGTGCTCGAAATTTAACGTCACACAGTACCCATCAACCGCGAGGAGCTAGGTCTTTGCTTTATGATCAAAGGAATGGAGATCCCTCCAGTGTTCAGGGTCTCGTGCTCACTCCTGGTGCACAGAGTGAGGCCGACTGTTCACAGCTGCTGAGCCGGATCAGCGGCAGGGCTGGGGTGCCGACGTTTACCTGAAAAGGGTCTGCACGTTGACGATGGTCTTGGCGTCAGCCATGTAGTCCTCCTCGGCACTCATGGTGCTCTCCTTGTCCACCACCACCATGTTGGCCGCGAAGGTCACTCCGCACCTGAGTAGGTCATCTAGGCTTTGATAAAAACCAACAGAGAAAAAGGCACTTTCAGTAAGTCCCAGGCCTGGTGCTGACACGGGCCGGCCCCTGTGCTTTGGCAGGTCACCCTGAGCGTGGCCCTCACAGAAATGTGCTCTGGCCCATGTTAATGCGAATGATCAGACAGTCTTCTCTGATACGAAACCGTTTTGATTTTGGAGCTATTTACGTTTCGTTTGATCTCAACTATTCCGAAACACACGTGTGAAGATTCTCTATTTAATAATACGTATTAGTTCTATGAATAAAACATGGAAAACGCCCATTTTGGAATCATGCGGTAACAACACATGTTAAAACTTTGTTTTTACAGTTAGCACATAAAGACGTCCACTTTTTATCCCGCAGGTGCTTTGGGTAAGTGTGAAAATGAATGCCTATGTTCATGGAGATGGTCGAGTCTGATAAAGATATATAAAACTGGGAAATGTTTACTTTTAAATTTCTACTTCTCTCTGTAAAGCTGTGTTGCAAATTGGTTCCGCACAGCCAAGAGCATGGAAAATATATAAATAGCAGCGGTATTCAAGCCTCCCGTTTACTTAGCCTAATGTTTTTGAGTGGTTGAGTAACCCAATTCCTCTGGTTGCATTAAATAATTGGGCTAACCTGGCTTACAAATGCATGCAGGTTATGATAGAGTCGGTGTCCTCCCCCATCACCGACAAAAAACCTTGCCTAGTATTGAATGAAAAGAAAGTGTTGTCATTAAAGCTGGAACGAGGGACCACCCTCTTTGCCTCTGCTTCATATACACTAGAAACAGAGGACTGAATTGGCTAAGAGACCAAACACTTGGATGAGTGTAACGGTGTTCTGGGTACAGAGCTGATTGATGACCGGTGAGAGTCGGGCTCACTGATGTGCACAGCTTCTGATTAAAGACGGGAAGTATAAAACGTAAAGAGCAGCAGTTCCTTCTAGATTCTCAAACGAGAGAGTCAGTTGCCTGAAGGCCTTTCCCAAGGGCATGGTGGGGACGGAATTAGCCAGGTGGAGGGAACTGTTTTCCTCTCGTGGGAAGGCAGGCGGCAGGATGCCTTCCTCTGTTATAGGCGAGAGAGTATTAGCAAAGCTTTGCATCCAAGATCCCAAGGAGTAATCCAGAAAAATGATTATGCTTGAATCAGGAACAATGTTCTGTGGCAGAGATTTTATGGCTAAATAATAAGAATGTTATTCCAAATGAATCTCCTATGGGGAGAGGAGCCAGGACCATAACATCCAGTCAATATGATGACTGAGTTACATCCCTAAGAATACTTTATTTGGATGTTCCTTTTATCTAGGAAATTCATCCTCGTTGTTCTTTTCCATCTATTAAAGTACAGTAAAGAAAGAGAGAAGTAGGTGGAAAATGAATGTGATATGGTCCTTTAGGAACTATGGAACGTATGCCTAAGTCCTATGACTTCAACTCACCTTATTATCATTTTTAATTACTTTCTGATATTTCAGCTCTTAATCTTTTCTCCACCTTTAAAAATAAAAATCTGTCTGTTATAATGATGTATATAGGAGAAGGGAAGGATGAAGGGTAGAAGGGAAGCTTGACTAGAAAAAGATATGCAGATAGAAATTATGATAAGAAAGATGACTATCTCATCAGCAATAAATGAATGAAATTGAAATTGGACAGAAATTCCACTAAGACAGTGTGTGTGAAGCTAGTCCCTGCACCTTCAGGTATCCGTTAATTCCACACTCAAGCTGGCTGGTGTTGTTTACATGTACCCTTGGCAGGTTATGTTAGTAATTATTATTAAATATGGCTTTGAATCTATCGAAAATGATTTTCAAAAACTGGAATGGCATTACTGAACCCTGTAGAAACATTTTTATTGTCCGTGTTTTAACATCAAGTTTTCATTTTTCTATGCACTCAATACTGCATTATATTTTTGTTTCTTTCGTTTATTTATTTATTTTAATTTGCCTGCCAACGTATTCTTGTAACTCATCCCACGTGCTCCCCAGTACTCTGCAGCGGGTCGCTGTATACAGGTCGGCCACCAGATGGCAGCCTTCGAACAGAGTCGGTACGGACCGAAAGAAGTTCCACACAATCTAATTGGCAAAGTTTTCCTCCCTAGCCTTCTCTAAGGCTTCATTTCAGGGAGATCTAGAACTGAGATCTAGAGTCTGGGGCGTGTCTGCGGGTGTATGGTAATTCATTCAAAGGGTTTTTGAGGTTTTTTTGGTTTTTAGGGAACATTTCAAGCAGAAGCAAGAGAGAATAGTCTATAGCGAACCCTCATCGACAAGGGTTCAGTAATTATCAGCAAGTAGACACTGTCTTTCATCTGGAGCAGGAATGAGATGCTCTCCGCTCTTCCCTCCATTAGCTCTTTACAGAGGAAGAATTTGCTGTATAGTTACATGGGCAATATCCTGTGTTTCCAATGGATTTTAATTGAATACTCTCATGTCAGCGGAACATGACTAAGTGACAAACTACGGGTTAAGTTCACTTTCGTGACTTGACATCATCTTCATACATCTGACTATAGTTTAGTGAGTTGGATTACTATGACAGCGGATAGGGTAAATTATAGGAATGTGCCGTGGAGGCTAGATATTTGTCGCTCTATTTGGTCTTGAAGTGCCCACAGCCAATAAACACTTAAAAAGTTACAGAACTCTGTTGTTGCAACATCAGCAGGATGACATGTAGCATGAATGTTCTCAGTGGATCAAGTTACACGTTTTACTTTGAAGGCTCTGGCTGACATTTTTTTAAATAAAAAAATTAACCCATTTTATAGGGATATTTGTTTTTATGATCTTTTAGTTCTTACATCTTTTATAATGTCATGTCCATGCATATGAAAACAATTGTATTTTAAGCCTAAAGCATTGCACACATTTGACCTTTTCATTAACACATTTTAAGAAGTTGTGAGCTCTGATAGCTGTCCCTAGAATAAACTTCAGGAAGTGCTCTGATGTGGAAATCTGATGTAAAGGGAGCATCTCTGAACTGTTTGGGGGGTTTCCGGAAGGGAATATAATGGTACCCATGCGTCACCAGGCGGAGCCTTCGGATTTTCAGCAAAAGTGTTCACGCTGTCACTGTAGGCAGCACAAACTGAAACGGCTTTCGAAACTGGACGAAATCAGCAAATCGACATGCAGCAAAATTCGCCTGAATTCGGTCACAGATGACCGCTCAGGAAGTTTGAGCCAAGACGGACAGCACACGAGACCACAAGCTCCCCATGCAGAGGACATCACCTACGGGCTACTGCATGGCCAAGTCCACTCAGCATGCAACACGGGCCACGGCACAGCACGAACCACGGGACACCACACCAGTGAGCGCCACGGACGTTTCCACCTACTTGTCAATAGAGCCCACCATGTAGTAAACCATTGGGAACCAACAGATTGCATCCAGAAAATGTATATCTGGCCTACGCAGCAGGTGGGTCACAAAAATGAAACACAGCGTCACAACCAGGGCAAGAAGAGGACTTCATTTGCATTTCCGAAACGAAACACGGCTGACAAGAGTGGTTAATTTTAGGTGCTCTTTTCTCCCCTTCATCATTAAAAAGCGCTGTTGGTACTTGTGATGAAGAAGACGATGCACGCAGAATTATAAAAGCAAATGGTTCTTTTTTCTAAATCAGAAACATTATGGCATTATTCTACAAAAATACAGAAGTGATAGTCTTAATTATGACTAAAAGGTCTTAATGATGAGTTCAAAAATTATTCACGCAGAGGAGGCTTTGTAAAATGAGGAACTAAATGTTAGATGACCCAAAGGAACTAAATTAGCGTGCAGCTTTCTCAAAGGGCTATACAGAGTTATGACGTAACCCTTAATATATCAATATATCCACAAATACAGTATATGTGTCCATAAAATGTATATATTATATAAAATTATCATGAAAAGAATTCACCTTTTAAATCACTGAATTACTCAATATGTATTGTTGAACAAAACATGCTGAAACTAACAAGTAATAAAAAATAAAAGTTTTACAAATAAAACAATTGATAATAGAAACAGAAAAAATGTGTACATCATTAGCCAAAGTCATAACTGTGATTCTTTTATGAGAGATGCCTACTTATGAGTCAAAAACATATCCTCACAAAATTTTTCATTTTAAAAATGTGCTATTATATGTGAGTGTTAATTAGCTAGTTATTGCTAAGATATGAAAAAGTGTGTGAATTTGCATGGATTTGCAAAGTTCAAGATCATTATTTTCCATTTTACTAACAACTATAATAATCTTAATTTCTTTATTTCAAATTCAAGAAATAAATGTAGCGAGACAGTTCATTTTGTTAGAATTTCATAATTTCACCATTCAGTGGTTTATTTCTTCCCTGAAATATATATAAGTAGTTCATTTAATTTCAACTGCTTGAAATAAATTTTCCTTTTTCTGTTTATTGGGTTTTCACACCAATCCATCCCTCTGTTTAAATCTTGACAGCGTCATTTTCTTGATTGGAAGAAGGGAAAGAAACTGTCATTTCCTGACTGATTTTCATGAATCAGATTTTGCACTTCAGTGTTAAGATAAATGTCGTACTCATTTTACAAATGAGAAAATTGAGGTTCATAGAAATTCGATAACATGCGAAAGGTCTACTGAGAGGTTAGGCTTGAACCTTCTTTCACAAATGTATGATCCGAAGTTTGAATGCCTTTGATAAGAGCCTTGATAGAGCAAACATGTACCAGTACTTTTTAATTAAGCAGAGCTGAACTTTGCTTGACTCTGTGAAAAGGAGACTGATTTAATAAAGAGCGAGTAGACACAAGATGTAAAAAAAAAGTAGGAACACAAGCCTACACCTTGCTCTTCATCTTGGTTTTGCTTTGGGTCCTCTATCCCAAAGTTTTGGACTCTCTTTTCTAGTTCTCGTGAGATGGTGCTATCGGATGGCGAGATGACCTTTAAGGCTGGGGTGGTGATCAAAATCTTTGACATCGGGATATCAGCTGACCAAACCAGACACATGGGCCACCGGCCAGTCAGAACCCCGACCAGCTCTCATGAACCAAGACCAAGTGCAAGTCCCTCCCAGGGAGGCTAGGTTTCATCTCTTTACCCTCAGACATCTAGAAGGGCTTTCTATTCGAAAATATGGCGAACACTTATTTTGGCACTCATGTGTGTGAATACAATAACTTTAATTTACATTTCGAAATCCCATAATTATTGGGATATTAAATCTGTTTCGTTTCTAGTACATTGAATTCATTGGCCTGTCACTAAGTTTCCTGAATAGCAGGGACCGCATATTATTTTATATGCAACACTCGTGTGAATTTAAAGTCAAATCCAGCCGCCCTATGCTAACTAATAACTATATTGCATGCAATCATTCGAGCACGAATTCTTTTATCGTGGAAACATTTTGAGAACTCAGCACCCTCTGTCTTTGTAATATTGTAGGACACATTGCAAAATACTAGCCTCTGCAGAGCAACAGGCACCAAATTGTTTAACACAGGATTCCATTAACCCTCCGGGAACATGCTTTATCGATGTTCAGTTCTTGTTCCCTCATTTGCTGACCAAAGGAACAGAGGACAACAAATAAAAACATTAGATACCGCTTTCAGGAAGTACTCAGGAGCTAATAACGTTTACAGCAGGCACGGTTATCCTAACCCTTTGAGACAGAATCAAACCCCACAAAAATCATCTAACAGACAGCATCACGTGTCGAGGTGGGCTGCAAAATGTAAGCCATCAGGAAAGCAAAGGACATTTTTAGTGCATAATAATCCAAAGTTGAAATACAATTCTTGTTTCTAAAAAGAACTGACAATGTATTCTTTTGCATATAGCAAAAACCTGTGAGGGAATAGCATACAGTTGAAAGAACAATGAACAATGAATTGCATAGAAGGTTCTAATTCTAGAAGGTTCTAATTCTAGAATTTCATATAGCTGAAAGAAAAATGAACTATGCATTGCATAGAAGGTTTTAATTCTAGAAGGTTCTATTTCCAGAATTTCATATAGTTGAAAGAACAATGAACTATGAATTGCATAGAAGGTTCTAATTCTAGAAGGTTCTAATTCTAGAAGGTTCTAATTCTAGAAGGTTCTGATTCTAGAACTGGTTCTGAAGTTGGGTGGGGTGTATTCTTATAGAACTGAGCCCTTATCCTGTGAGATCAGATGGTGTCTCTGGGTAGATTGTATCAGGACTGTGTTGCGTTCTAGGACACCCAGCTAGTATTCCCAGCCAGCATTGCTTGTGGGAGGTATGGAGAACCCCCATGCCCAACACACATTGCAATTGGGTCCAGGAATGCAGTTGGGAGATTTGCACCTCAGTGGGGATGCTGTGAGTATAGTTCCACCTCTTTCTTTACAAGTCTCCTCCCTTTTTACTCTTTGTATTCTGGGGCCTGAGCTAAGCCACCTGAGATGGAATGTCCTCAGGTGACCGGCTTGCAAAGGCCCCGTCTTAAGTTAACAGAGCATCTCTGTGTGAGAAGTTCCAGAATGAGGATGTAGTCCAAGGCCTCGGGGGTGCTTTAAGCACCTGTATTGCCATGGCCATCCCACACCCAACCTCTTATTCTCCCGCGATTCATTTTAGCAAGCTTCTGGTCCACGTTTCTGTTCCCCCACATCTGCCCTAAAGTTACCTCTCCTTTCCCTGGGTGCCGAAATAGTATCAAAAAGTCACTGAGTCATCAGATCTGAAAACGATTAAACAGAAGTCTCTAGAAAGGTGCTCAGTTTTTAGAGTTGAGTATCATTGTGATAATGAGGCTGAAAAAGATGCATCGGCAACCACCTTGATAATGGTTTGTGCAGAATAAACAATGCCGGGAAGATGTGATATATTGGGGAGATAGCTCTGTTTTGAGAAGTTTGTTTTGATCAACTTTAAAGGCAGAGATGGGGCAACAGACTTTGGCCTCCTTCAGTTTGTTCTGAAGTTTGCAACCTTTAGAAATTTAAGAGGGGAGTTAGAGGATCCTAAAAGATGGTATTGATCTGAGGACCATCTGCTACTAATTTTTTTTAAAGTATGTTTTTATTGATTTTTTAGAGAGAGAGGAAGGGAGAGAGAGAGATAAAAACATCAATGGGAGAAACATCAATCGGCTGCCTCCTGCACACCCCCTACTGGGGATCAAGCCCACAACCTGGGCACACGCCCTGACCAGGAATCGAACCTGCGACCTCTCAGTCCCTGGGATGATGCTCAGTCCACTGAGCCACACTGGCAGGGCCATCTGCTACTAATTTTGAGTCACAGTGAAGAATATTATAATTTTAGGATACAATAAATTTAACAATAGCGTTCAGTGACCTATATTTATATTTGCATAAGGATTTTGTAATGCTCGAGTAGTCTTATTTCACAAGAGTATTTCAGTTCAACTTTTCCAAAATTAATGAACATGATCAAGCATTTCTTACTCATGTTATGTAATAAAATATATTTTTTAACAGTGGAAGAATGATTAAAAAGTCATGGTACAGCATCAAAAAATGGATCATTGATATGCTCCTCTGATCATGAATGTCTTTAGAAAGACAATAAAAGTGTCCATTTTGGGCTCAGTTTTTCCTAGTTGATTAAGTTAAGGAAAATAACTAATTATTTCAGTGACCTGTGTCCCACCAGTATCAAGTGGTGACCACTTGAAAAATAGTTTTAAATAAAAACCTCAGGATATTCCAGTAGTGGTTTAAATCGTATTTGTGAAATACAACCACATTCGATGATGACTCTGTATACATCTCCCCAATGAATCACGTGCCACAATGTGGCAGATTTAAACTATTCTAAGCAAACAGAAATAAATTATTTTTGAGATAATATTAAAAACTCTTCGTCTCGCTTCTGTATTTACTTGTCGATATACTTACGGATTGTCCAGCAGCAGAACTATAGGGTTGAGTTCTTTCTTTGGTCTATAATATGCCCTGAGAGGAACAATAAAATTATACAATCCGTTCCCAGCTGTTTCAGCGGCAACTATGATTAGTTTATTTTTGAAGCCATAGGCTTTGGCGTCTTCATAGTAGTTATGCTGGCAACTCTAGAGAAGAAAATGCACACAGAGAAAAAACATGCTTATACACTGCTGGAATTTGGTGGATGTTTGTAAGATAGATGGACGTGTACAATTAATCTAACCTGGTAAATGCATTATTTTCTAACACATTTGAAAATAGTTACATCTGTCTATGCCCAGTTCTCCAGCATGTTTTGGGAATTCATTGGCATCAATCAGAGAAATAAATTTCAGTGATATCACTTGACGTGGGGGAAGAGTCAGCCATACGTGTGCACACACGTTATATTGCAAAGTAAACTTGCTACTAGAGATACCTGTGTGTCTGCACTGAAAAATCATCACAGTGTGCTCGGCCGGTGTGGCTCAGTGGTTGAGCATCAACCCATCACCAAGAGGTCACCGGTTTGATTCCTGGTCAGGACACATACCCAGGTTGTGGACCCGACCCCCAGTCGATGTGATGTTCTCTCTCATTGATGTTTCTATCTCTTTCTCCCTTTTTTCCTCTCTCTCTAAAATCAATAAAGAAAAAAAATTAATAAAATAAAAACAAGACTCACAGGCTCATTGGGTAATTTGGAAAATCTTAGTGCAGTTCAGAAATAAAAATTTGCCATTTTATGGGTTATATTTACATTTTTTTCTTTATTGATTTTAAAGAGAGAAGAAGTAAGAGAGAGAGAAAAATCGATGAGAGAGCATGGATTGGCCGCCTCTTGCATGCCCCCCACTGGGGACTGGGTCCTCAACCTGGGCCTGTGTCCTGACCAAGAATCGAACTGGCGACCTCTTGGTGCAGGGTCGACACTCAGCCACTGAGCCACACTGGCTGGGCACATTGCGATGATTTTTCAATGTACTTACATTTACATTTGAAAAGAAACTATTCTTTGAACCTATTTTACTCTGTACAGACTTAATATGTAGACTGTACAAAATGGTTCGAATAGGTCATCATAAAACAGTATAATTTAATTTTGCAGAAAATAACAGTAGCAAGTGCTTACCTTGTCTAGTCTCAAGCAGCAAAATGGCACTTTTTCATGAAGGAGATGGCAGAGAGTGGGTGAACTTCCTATGTATGGGGAGTAGGGTGGGTAGCCTTTAGCGTACCTGTAAAGCAATATAAACACTGAATCCTCTTGGACAGTATGTGCAAAGTCGGACCATTGAATTACAGCCACAATCCCCTGTGTTGATAGAGTGAGATATAGTGACTTTATGTTGCAACGACATTTTGATAAGGAAATAGAACAGGAAAGGCAAACCAGGGCCCACATACCAAGTCTGGCCCATCGCCTGGTTTTGTGACTTAAAAGTGGTATTTTATATTTTTATATGGCTGGGGAAAAAATCAAAAGAAGAATAACATTTCATGTCGTATGAAAAATGATATGAAATCCAAATTTCGGTATCCGTGCTTTTTTTTTTTTTTAGAACATAGCCAATCAGCGTCGTTCATTGATGGGATTGTAGCTAGGTGCTTTCATGCTTCAAAAACAGAATTGAGCACTTGCTGCCAAAACCATATGTTACGTAAAGTCTACAATATTTGCTAGCTACTTCTTTTCAAAAATAGTTGGCCAATTCTCAGTTTACAAGATGTTGACAGCTATTTTTAGAGTCGTGTTAATTTTTGCAAAACACACTTAAAGCAAAATTCGTTGCCATGACCCACTCTGTCAACAGTCATTGGATTCGTAACCCAAGAGGAATGAACAGTGAGTTAATTATGGAGTCAAACCACCACCCAAAAGAGTTTTCGCTAGAATCACGCTTAAAACATCGTCACGGGTACTCAGTTGGCTGACTTGATAGAAATAGCCTGCTGCACCTTGGGGCTGTGCTAATTTTCAAAACAAAACTGTCAAAAAGTAGCAGCATGAGTGAAAATGAGGAAACAAAAGGAAGTCCAGTGGAGACAAAAATTCCTTTATGGAACATGAACAAGATCTTTTTTTCTTGACCAAAAAATGACCTTCTAGACCAAGAAATGTCAAACCTCACTGAAACTGTTTCCCAGACCCCATTAGCTATGAGGGCAACACCAAGCACCTTTTGCTCAGTTAGAAGTTGATCGTTTTCACTATTGCTTCATTGTTTTATTTTTCTAGAAATAAAAAAACTGCTACCTCTTGATCTTTTCAGAAAGAATGTCAAACACACCTCCCAACACCGGTTCTAGAAATAGACTACTGGTCGACCCTCTCCTTCTTCCTATCAAATATTTCATAAATAGATTTGGGTACTGCTGATTTCTGAGAGAGCAGATTGTGTTTTGTGGCTACACCAAAGTTCCATGTAATAAATTCTTAAGAAGCGTGAAGAATTAAAAGAAGGATTTTTCAAAGTTTCAGTTATATTTTAGTTCCTTCTAGTTTAATTTAACATTAGCTGATCATCTATTATATGGAAAATATTGGGAGAAGAGTTTAAATAGTGTCACCCTTGCCGCGGTGACTGCTGTTACATCTAACAGTAATCAGTACTCCTGTGCCTACTCTGCACAAGAAGCATTGTCCTGAGCACATTTTCTCTAGGATCTCAGTTAATCCTCACATGAACATTATGAGTCAACAGTCACACTCCGTGTGCGGATAAAGACATTGCAGGTTGGGTTGGTTCATCAGAGTCCCTGGCACAGAGCACCGCCACGTGGGACGGTGACACAAAACCACCTGTTTCAGGCTCCACCGAGAAGGCCACTGGCCACTGTGCTCAGGAAGCACAACGGTAGCTCGTGGACTCACAAGCAGACAAACTCAAATGAAAACGAAACTGTGACCGGCAGCGTGTACATTGGTCCTGCTTACGATAGAAGCTTAGTCATGAGAACAAGCGCTTTTACTCGTTTATTCCCAAAGTTATTGCTGCAAACTGTACGGAAAAGCCCACTGAGCTCTGACGTGAGAGAGGAACTGGGGTGGAGGAATCTGTCACAGGCCACTGAATAACCGACTGGACACCAGTATGGACGTGGAACTGAATTAAAGGTGGGCGGTACCGTGGACTTCAACCCAAACCAACAATTACAGAAACTTACATGAGGGAAATACTGGCGTATGTACCTTTTTCTTTAAGAATAAAGCATTTGTGCCCTGGCCAGTTTGGCTCAGTGGTTAGAGCGTCGGCCTGCGGTCCTGAGAGACCCAGGTTTGGTTCCCGCTAAGGGCACGTACCTCGGTTGCAGTTTGTCCCCGGCCCTGGTCGGTCGTGCGGGTGGCAGCCACTCGATGTGTTCCTTTCACATCGATGTTTCTCTCTCTCTCTCTGTTCCCCTCTCTCCCTCCCACTCTACCTGAACAAAAAAAAAAAGGGAAAATGTCCTCGGGTGAGGATTAAAAAAAAAAAAGAATAAAGCATTTGTTAGAGAAAACTGAACCAGGAAATATACAGGGTGGGGGCAAAAGGAGGTTTTAAGGTGTTCGTACAGAAAATGATACAATAATTAATACATAATAATAGAAGAATGAACTCTGTGTGTCCTCCTTTTGCCCCACCCTGTCATGTTGGGATCAGAAATCGGAAGGTCTCGACTACTGGATCAGAGAGAGAGAGAGAGAGAGAGAGAGAGAGTCTAGGAGAAGAATGTTCTGGGAGAAATATGTAGGACTCGTTGTAGTACGTGCAGGAGGAAGGAGGAACGGAAGGGCATTAGTTCCCGTGGCGAGCCCAGATCCCAGTAAATCTTAGAGTATCTCAACCCACGCACTCCAGGTTCGAGGGCATGTTTTCATCTGAGGTCGTTTCGTCTTCCGATTGGTCGCTGAGAAGATCGCAGGCGTGGATGGAGGACGTGTCTGCAACCTCCAGCACAGGGGCGATGCTCGGCCTCCTGACTTCTTTGATTCCCTCCGCAGGCAGGGACAGGGTAGGGCCGCTGGCGGAGCGGCAGCTTGTGTCTTGCAGATCGATGGCCACAGTCCCTAATACAACGAAACACGAAAACTCAGCAGAGGGTGCGCCACCGTTACTACTGACCTATCATTCCACGACCACCGTGACAGGCAAGGTGATCCGCCTACCCAGGAATCTCGCTTACCCTTCCATCTCAGAGGTGACTTCCGTCTTTAATGTGGCCATTTGGGCTCATTAGATAAAAACACTGTCTGTGTAAGTATATTTGCTGAGCCTATCCCTATAGCATGAAACCTAAGATCTGCGAAATGCAGAAATACCTACAAATTGAAAGTAAAAAAAAATAAATACTTTGTTTCGATTTATATTTATGTAAAATTATATCAAAATTCTTGGCCATTTCGATGTTGTGGATGTCTCATGGTATTCTTTCCCCCCCGTTCTGCTGACGTATCTTTCTCTTACTGATCTGCGACCACTTTTTACAGTAGAACAGTTCATCTTTTACGTCTGTGCAGCACATAGTCATGGAGTAGCCACTCTGTGGTGAGCTCTACTCTCGGCATTTGAGATACGCGGGGGCAAACACAGACACGTTTTCTACACGTGTAGGTTTATCTTTAAAATAATCCAGGAGACAAATAAATGGGAAAAAAAAAAAGTCATTTTAGGTCATGATCAATACCGGGCAGAAAGTAAACGGAGTGGTGTGACAAAGTGTAGTGGAGTTAGGGACAGGAGGAGGAATCTCCACCAGGGGGTCAGGAGGGCAGCTCTGATTTTTGGTGACAATTGACTTTTGCCCTGATAGACTAAACCGAGCCCAGAACCGTGGGAAAACCTCCTGGAAGTAAGAAGAACCCCGCTGAACAGCCCAAGGCCCTTCACATTGAGGGTGCTAACCTCGATTTTGTAAACGCGGCTTACTGCAGTGTTTATCTCTGGCCGGGGTTTCTCTGACACCTTAATTGTAATCAATGAACCCACTACCTGTTCAGTCTCCTTCAACCAACAGATGTCTTTCACTTGGTTCCCTAAACGAAGCTCCAACGTCTCCTATTCTAGTCCCAGTGTCCCGTGAGGGGACAGCGAGATTTCCAGCCAGCAGCTGAAGACAACTCTTCCAAGAAATGTATCTACCAAGATGTTGTTTCAGAGTGTGTGTGGCGGTAGAAATATGAAGAGAGACAGACAGACAGACAGACAGACAGAGAGGGAGAGAGAGGGGGGGGAGAGAGAGAGAGAGAGATGGAGGAATTTGCCAGTGTTTTTGGAAAGAAAAAAAAAGAAGTTAAATAATAAGGAAGAATTAAAATGAAGACTGAAGTCCCTGAGAGAGAGATGGGTCCATAGCACACGCGAAGGTGTTACTGTGAGTTAAAAGAAAGGATGTATTTTTCTTGTGATGGACACTAAATGTTTGTAGGTTTATAGGTAGTTTGGTGGCAAAACTTCAAGAAAAGTATTACTTGTTCGGATTTAGAAATAAAAAAAAAAACTTCTGTGTCATAGAAACCAAGTTCAGTGGTGAGAATAGGGTGAGGAAGGGGAGTTTTCAGGAAAACAAAAATATTTGAAATAGCCTGTTGACACCCGGGTGAAGAACTTACAGAAGAAATATAGACGTGTCAGGTGCTTCTAACCCAATCGGAGATATGAAACAGTTATCGGCCGCTTTGCATACGCTGAATCGTATACCGATTTAACCGCTTAGAAATGTCGTTCTGTGCATTTAGTTACAAGTGTGTCATAGAAACAAGGATGCTCTAAATCTGACTTTGAACTTGCAATGGAAGTGGAGTATACTCATCCTTCCTCTTTCAAAAGAAAGAGATGGTGTTTGCACGTTCCGGGGACCTACCCATGCTGGCAATGATGCTGTGCACAGGGAGTCTAGCAGGCCCGTGGTAAACCGACCGCGATATGCTGTTCTTCTGCTGCTGCTCTTGGTTTTTAAACGCTGAATTCTCTTCTTTGGTGATATTAATATAAAAACATATATCTGTAGCGTTCATAATGTAGCGAGGGCCTGGATTCAGTAAGATGTTCTTATTATCCTCCCTCCGAGCGCCAATCAAGCAAACACCAAACCTTGGCATAAAAAAGAAAATAGAGTTTAGGAATTGTAATTCAGCCGAGGTCTTAGTTTTGTTTTCTTGAGTTTACGTACGGAAGAAAATAAGTCAACTATATATAAAAAGGCAGAGGAAAGTTATAGCCCCAAATCAGAGCCTTTTAAAGCTTGAAAGGATCCTAAACGTTTAAGACTTCTGGTTTTTCGTGTGTCTGTTTTTTTACAGGAAAATTGTGTCCTTCGTGTGTTGAGAAATCAATTTAGTTGATGATTGCATACACGTATGTACATATATGAAGAAGAATAGAATAAAAGAGAAACAAAAACATTGGCATGCATACCCTATAGTCAGGGTAATAATTGTTTGTAAATTCTCTGTGTGTACTGGGTCTCACTATAAACAGCGTATCTTATTTTGGTCAAAAAAGGTAAAACTGTATTTCTTACTTTAGTCAAAAGAGTTTGAGAGCCATTGGCCTATAAGAAACTTACTCAAGGTCACATGGAAAAGAATCAGGGTCCCTAAATTTAGTTTTGTTCTGTTTTTAGAAGAGTATGCAGCTTAATTAAGATAAATAATATCCAATGAGTGTTAACAAACATTACTTAAAATCTTCTACTTTTCCAGGTTTGATATTCCAAAAACAAAATGCCCTGAATATTTATATTTCAATATATCTAGTACTGTTACAAATAAATCAGGCTTAAAAATATTTTCTAAACATCGAAAGTATACGTATAGATAGAATCATATTGAGAAGTAGAGTGGAATACTTTGGATATTGGATTAGTGAAATATACTAGATGTGTTACAAATCCTAAAAATATTATAGTAATATATTTGTAATACTGATAATATATTATTTTTATGAAAAACATACATTTTTTTATTATTATTATTGTTTTAAATCCTCTCCCAAGGATATTTTTCCATTGATTTCAGATAGAGTGGTAGGGGGAGAGAGAGAGAGAGAGAGAAAGAAATATCGATGTGAGAAAGACACATCAATTGGTTGCCTCCCCCACGAACCTGACCAGGGAACCCAGGTACATGCCCTTGACCGGGATCAACCCTGAGACATTTTGGTCCTGGGCCGATGCTCTAACCACGGAGTCAAACTGGCCAGGCTAAACATACTTTTTCACTTCTTAAGTAAATACATTTTTTTAAAGAAAGGATAAAAATAATGCTCTGTGTTTGAATTAGAAGGAACTATCACTGATTTTTTTAATAAATTTCTCTGGCCAAAGCAAGTGTTTAAAAATGTCTAGTTTTTATCACCTTTAGTATTACTTAGTTTAAATTACTAATCAACAGTTTAAAATTCAGATCTACAAAAAAGATTCACTCTTATGCATTTGTGAATTCTTAACAGATTAAACTATTTTAACAATTATTTAAAAGTTACTGAAATAAATACTGCTACTGTATCACACTTTACACCTGGTCATCTGAACACGTAGAAGGGCAGAGTTCAAACGTCCCCATAACCATCGGAAACCTCCCAGAATATTTGCAACACACGAGCACCAGCATGGGCTTGGGTTTTAGAAAACCATGCTCCAAAGGGCAGACGGAGTTTTCTTTTAACTCCACTCGGGAAGCAGAAACCTACTTTTTGTGTGCGTGGAAGGAGGCGTAGGTGAAACTCTTCCCTTCGTATTCAGCAAAAAATGCACTTTCTTCCAAAGTGATGTGGTAAACTTCGTTCCCGGAGCATCTGCCGTACGTCTTCTGCCACTGTTCCGGTGACTGCTGGCCTTCTCTGAGATGCAGGTGCAGAGAGAGAGAGAGAGAGAGAGAGAGAGAGAGAGAGAGAGAGAGGCTGTGAATGTGGTTCAGATGCAGCCCTGTCCTGTGCTTCTGAGTGTCCCAACTCTAAGACCCGTGACAAGTGCAAAGCAGTAAGGTGTGGCGCTCGAAGGCTGGCAGTATTCACAAGTACAGTTGCTACAAAATCGTTGAAACGAACCCCGTGGAGAAGCTGGCGAAATGGCAGAGCCCTGGGATCCTGCCATCCAGTGAATGAGGCATTTTTTGTGCCCACAGAGCAGCGAGATGCACCCGGGACCCCGTCTGTTTCCGTCCACCCGGCCACGCGCAGCCCAGCCGGAGGCTTGGCTCATAGTCACATCACAGCCCACCCGTGCAGTTGACGAAGCCTGCCCGGCCCCTGTCGTGGTCTGATGCTGCTTTGTATTTACAAGTGTAAATGCGCACGTGTCAACGAATCCGCTTGACTCCTAGCAAATGAACTGCGTCTGTCTCTGTCTTAGCCATGGCTCTCCTCCAGGTGCGCGGCCATCAAGAAAAGCGACTTTTTGTCATACAAGTTGGGGTCTCCCAAAGAGTTCCCACTAGTATTCTTAAAAGAAGATACATTTATCACAGAAAAGACCGTTTCTTTTATTCTGGAATTGTCTGCTCAGTGGTTTTGAAAGTATATCAAATAGTCAACCTATGAAAAGTTCGTTGTTAATATCCAAGAGCTCTCTTCCCGCGTTTTGTACGAGTCCTGACACTTTTGCTGGAGAAAGCTGGTGAGTTCTGCGAAGCACAGGCAGGACGTGGGCAAGGAGAAACGTGGTAACTGTGAAAATCAAAGGACTTCCTAATCTCTGCGGATTCTGCGTGGGTAAGAGCAGGTAGCAAGTCTCATTAACCACATTTAGGGTGGGTTTTCCCTGAAGGATGACCAGGGAGATGGGACACGTGTCAACATTTGCAAAGTGTCCATACGTTTTTGAAAACCCTACATTTTCAAGGTATCTGTCATTTCTCCTTGGGGTCTGATCACCCGATCTGAATCCGAACTCCAGCCTTATGTGAGTTATCTAACTCCTCGGCGATTCTTTACCTCTTCTGTGAAAAATTGTTTCGGCCTCACTGGGTCGGCCGAAACGAGGTCACAGAAATAAATCACCGAGCGGGTGCTGGTGACAGTAATCGCTCGGTAAGTGTGAGCTCCCTCTCTTACTTTGCTCTTACACCTTCCTTGTGGCTGTATTTTAAACCCTCTTTCAACACGCCTAGTCAACCTGTTCACAGTAATGCTCTTAAACCTTTGCCCTTTTATTCTACGACGTTAACACAGCGTGGGATTCAGGAAAATAGAAAACACTTTTGACGACGGACTGCACACTACTACCTCTGAGGAAGGATTGTGACGGGTGGAGACGACATCGCCTTTGGCAAACAGAACTAAAATTCTTTACGTACCACATTGCTACTTGGCAGGGTGCTACTTGGCAAAGATAGAATCCCTTCAAAGAGCCAGAAATGTAGGAGGGGTCCCCGCTACCCATCAGGGTTCGTCTGAGGTCCAAAGGCAGTGTGGGCACAGATAATTGCCCCACAGGGTGCCAAAGCCCTTCCAGAGAATCGTAAATCGAATGCCAGGGGCTGAACTGGGATGGCAGGAGGGTAACGTGGAAGGAGAGACCAGTGGCATTACAAAGCTGTCCGGACCATGCCATGCCTGTCTCTCAAAGGCCGTCTGCTGCTCCGTCCTCCATCTCCCGTGGGCTCCGGCCTTGGGCCGACATCAGGTCTTTTCCCCAAAGCCGTTCCTGTCTGCCCACCCCTTCCTGAACCCGTGGCTGGCGGAGTCATGGCCTCCTCCGCAGGGCCCCCTCCGTCCATGTTACTGTAACACCAGATTTATTCCCGATCCTTCCTGTGCCATGCGCTCCAAGGGGAGGGGGACCCCGTCTTGTTTACCACCCTCTCTGACACCCCACATCCCTTCTGACACCTGTACGTGCGTGAGAAATGTTTCGTTTGATGAACTCAGTAACCTAACAGTGTTCTTCGTGCTCAGGTACCAACTGTTCTGCTTTTCTAACAATCTGATATCTTTCTTCACCAGAACCATTTTTTAAGCCTGGTCAGTGACTTTCCCTCTGATAAATTTGACATCAGAATTGTGCGCGGGGCGGGGTGTGAGAGGTGGGATACCAAGTTCTGTCATCTTTAATGGACATGAAAGGAATTTAACCTCAGCAGCAGTGAAAACACAAAATAGATGAAGAACAAAAAGCCTGCCCTGGCCGGTATGGCTCAGCGGTTAGAGCGTCGGCCCTCGGACCAGAGTCTCGGGTTCGATTCCGGGCAAGGGCACGTACCTCAGTTGCTGTTGGTCTCCAGCCCTGGTCAGGGTCTGCAGGAGGCAACCAGTCGACGTGTCTCTCACATCGATGTTTCTCTCTCACACTGATGTTTCTATCTCTCTCCCTTCCTCTCTAAAAAGTCAATAAAAACATAGTTTTTTTTTAAAGAAAAAAAAAAGAGAGGATGAGTATCATCTGTCGACCACTAGATGGGGCCAGAGAGCTGTCCGTCCTCAGGAGCAGAGTGGTGCCTACGTTGGAAACAGGGACAGCTGCCCGGACCTCAGGCTTTGTTAACAGTGAACGCGGACAATGAACGCACTTTTGAAAGGGACACAATTCAAGAAGAAATGACACAGAGCTCGGACTGTTCAACCCGAAAGGCTGGTTGTATATGAAGGTGGCCCAGATTCGCTCCCCTTCAAGTTGCTTTGGCCTTCAAAAACCAGGCGGCTTTCTGAGGTGCCCCCCTAATTCGAGAGAAAGCCCCATTACTACCCAAAAGAAGCAATCCTAAACTTCTGTGAAGATTTCTCACCTACTTTCTGAGATGTCAGGTGGAAAAATAAATTCATCTGTCCCGGCTAAACTGCTTTCTCGGCTTTTTAACGTTATGATTATTGAATAAGTCATAACTTACAAAGCGTTCTGCCTCTGCATTAATAAAAATTTTTAAAGCTAAAATACAGTCCCCCCCCCCCGCCCTGTCCAAATAGCAGGTGCCTTGCGCTATCTGTGCGATCTGAACAGTATTTTATTGCTATTTATTGCTGTTTTTAGCATGTCACTTCCTCCAGCACTTACATTTTGACGCCCCTCCCCCAAATGCTCCCAAATCCTGAGCTTAATTCCGAGTTTGGAGGCGTCTCTTAATACTGTATTATCGGCTTTCGTCACTCTACCCTTGCAGGCGTTATCTATTGGCTGTCCTCCTGAGGCGTGAGACCCCGGACACAGGACCTCCATGCACACTCCGACTTGAGGTGTTTCTTCTGAATCCTCTGTGGGGAGTCGCTCTCCAACGCCAGCCCCCACAGCCCAGTCTAGCGAAGTGGGTGTGAGAATCAGGCCACGTGCAGACAAGGGGACACCTTCAGGCGTGTGGAGAGCCGGGTGTTGCGTGTTCACCGAAAGGCAGATTCCAAGCAAACAATTCACAGAAGGTGTTGACACCAGGCTGGTGGCCGCAGACAACCTGTCTGCTCACCTGCCCGCAGCGTTCGGCTCACTGGTGTTAAATGGCAAAGTCAGATCTGCCGACTAGCTACCCTTCAGCTTCAGATGACATGCTTAAAACCCTGTTCCAGTCGCTGCAGGCACCGAATCTGGCTGTGTCAGGAAGCAGAGGTGTTAGCTGCCCGCCTGCCTCCCACGTCTCCTCCCTGCTTTTACCCCCAGGAGGTGTCTGCTGAACAGTTCTGTTCGCTTTGTTCAAACTGTGCACCTTTGTATTTTGTTTCCTGGCTGTAAGTATATCAATGGCTCCGGATTAAAAGTAGAGCGCATGTGTACACCGGAAACGTACACAATCCTATAACCCAGTAGTCTCTCAGTAAAGCTGGGGAAGAGGAGAGAAACCGTGTGCAGTGGTTACATTATTATGATTATTGCAACATAGTTCACGGAAGAGTCAAGTGTAGTGCGGGAATTATGTAACCTTCTCTGTCGGTACCTGAGCTAGTCAAGGGAGAATTTATATTTTTAATTATCTTTATTTCCTGACCACCTCAGTTCAGTATTATGTCACAAGAGTTTGCTTTATTTTAGTTTATTCTTGTTTTCCTGGAGTTTATCATCCCCCGCCCCCCCACGGTTGGGAGAGAAAAGAGAGACCTCCATTGCCACATCCCCTTGGGTGTGTTGCTATTAATCTAGCCCAGTCTCCTGCTGAGATCCAATGTCTCTACTTTCTGTATCTTGACCACAGTCTTTAGCAATCTTTGCTTTCAGCTGTGGTGCAGAAATTTGGCCTGGGTCCCATCGATCACACATAAATGCAGTTTATTTCGAAGTTTATAACTCAGAACCAGGCAGGCAAAGGACATTCGTTTTCGTTCTAGTGGTGGCACAAGAGGTTCTAGGAAGTTTAAACGTTGGTTTATTATGGGGTTAGTTGTGTGGTGTTGTGGTGGAAATTGTTCAGGCCAGATTCACCTAGATAGAGGCCAACTCTCTTGTCCTGTGAGTTATCCATGTCCCCTGGTAAGTCTCTCTACAATGAACTAGTTAAAGGAACCCTCTTGTCCAAAGTCCAGAATACTGAGATTCCCTCCACTTTTCTGCAAGTTTTAAGAAGACTTTCTTGATCACAGTTGCTTTGTAATTTGGTGATGCTATGTCTCTGGGTGTGGCTCTCTGGTTGTCATTCTCAAACCAGAGACCCTGACAATTGAAAGACTTAAATCTCCCCTTTCTGCTCTAGTCTGTTATAGTCCACTTTCTCTGTCCTCTCTGAAACTCCCACTGACTACATATTCTCTCTCTTGTATGTGCTGTAAATTCTTCTTCTTATATATTCCATCTCTGCATTTTTTATCTGAAATCCTTAAGATTTCTGATATTATCTTTGAAGGCTTTTATTGAGTGGTAATGTTAGCAATCACTCTATCGATTTCAAAATGTCTTTTTTACTTTCTATTTCTCCAAAATAACTCCC